GGGTGGGGCGGCGGTGACGCGATTCTGTCCGCGTTGGAGCGGGCGGGCCGCCGCCAGAGTCTCCGCGGCCGCCGTGTGACGTGGCACAGCCGAACACTTAACGCCGTGCCGGAGCCACCGCACCAGTTGCCGAGCAGCTCCGGGTCCCGCTGCGTCGCGTTCCCACGGCTCCGCCGACCCGCCGCCAGCGAGCCTGCTCTTCTGCCTTCCTCCGCCGCCCGGTTGATCGGGAGCCGGGACCGAGAAGGCCCGAGGACGCATCGGACCCCTCTCCTGACCGTCTCTCGTGCCACCGCCGCTATGGGCCTCACCATCTCCTCCCTCTTCTCTCGCCTCTTCGGCAAGAAGCAGATGCGCATTTTGATGGGTGAGTGTGCGGCCGGGAACCGGGGAAGGCCAGGCGTTTGCTCCGTGGCCTCCAGCCCAGCCTTCCCCGGCCCGGGTGGGGGAGGGCGGCCAAGAAGAATCCTTCGGGGGAACAATGGGGGCGAGGGGCGAGCGGTGTCTCCCACAGACGCTGAGCCAGATTTCCTCGCTCTCGGCTTTGCATGCTCGCCTCTCTCTCTCTCTCTCTCTCTCTCTCTGTCTCTGTCTCTCTGTCTTCCTGGTCTAATTGAGAGCTTGAGAAGACGGAGCGGGGATCCAGGGTTCATTCACCCCGGGGAGGCCCTTTCTAAGGGTGCAATTTTCCGCCCCACGTTTGTGGCTGTGGACAGCGGTCGAGAGTGAGTCCGGGCGACTCCAGCCGTCTCCCCCCCACCCCCTTTCCTGGTCGTGTACGCCCTCTGCACACACCATTGGTATGTGAGCCCAGCCTGGAGCAGCCCTGGGGCAGGAAGTGACCAGGCCCACGGTGGCGAAGGAGCACCCAAGGCTTGTGGAAAAAGTGGAGTCCTTTGAGCTCATTTCGCTAAACTTTGCCTTGCTCTCCACTCGGCTTTATTTTCTCATGCTTATGAAGCTTATTCTGTGAAAACAGAATTTATTCGTACTAAACCTAAAACACTAAACCTAAACTAAAGGTTTAGTAAAACCTTTAACTAAACTAAACCTAAACTAAAGGTTTACTATCTTTCAAACTAATTTTAATCCATGTGACCTGGATAATAATAAAATGACAAAGTCAGTTATTAGAAATGAAAAAGTTATTTATCCAGATAATTCTAAAGCACCTGAACTGAATATGACTCTTGAGTTCAGGGTAACGTATTAAAATCGTTTGTTTAAAGTGCTTCCCAGTGGCAGGTTTTATTGCCCACTGAGGCCGTTCACTAGGGTGAAGGGTTCGTTCTGGCCCTACTACAGCAGCCTGCCTCACAGCTCAGTTCCACGGAGCTGAATAGTATCTTTTGACACTTGTCGAGTGTAAGAGAAAAGGATCATTTTGAGCACGCACTACTGCGAAGTGCTTCAGTTTCTGTGATACAGAGTATGGGGTACAAGCTGGTGATTGTGCCTCTCTCTTTTTTGTTCAGCTCCTTTACAGCCGTAAAAACAGTTGTTCGTTGACTCATTCACAAAGCTAAGTGAAAATGTTTTCTTTCACAGTTACTCAGATCTCCTTTATGAAGAGGACAGTTATTTTTAGGAGGGCCGGTGTGTTATTTAAGACCTAAATGTTTGGAAATTGGCCGTATGAAAAAGGATCTGAAGTCAAAGGGAGGACTTTAGACTGAGATAAATGAGTTTCTTCGAGACTAGCCAGTAGAAGAGTGTGTTACTAAAGAATTTATTATAAATGAGTTACGTTTTTCCTTTGTTATAGTCTTGTGATGGCCGAAGGGATAGGGAGAAGGGAGATAGGTGCTTTAAGCGTTTTGCTATGTCTGAGAAATTCTCAATCCATCCCAAGTAGTGATTGGCAGGAAGGGCGTAGAGCAGCCTTTAACCTGCTTTGCGGGTGGAAGGGCCCGAATCACGGGTGGGATTCCTCTTAGTGTTAGGGGTGTGATCGCTCAGGTTTGCTCTGCTTGTGGGGCTTTTGTTTTATGATACAGCGCTCTCTCTCTCTCTCTCTCTCTCTCTCTCTCTCTCTCTCTCTCTCTCTCCATAGCTCTGGCTGTCCTGGAGCTCACTCTGTAGATCAGGCGGGCCTTGAACTCACTGAGATCCACCTGCCTCTGCCTGAGTGCTGGGAATAAAGGTGGTGTCACCACACCTGAAGTTTTCCTTGTTTAACAGCACTGGTTCAGAAAACTAACTTTTATGATAACTCATCCAAGAAAGTGTCAGGGTTATCTGCATGAAGAAGCACAGTGGTTAGGAAGTCTGGTAATTCCTAAGAATTTGGGGGATTTTTGTTGTTGTGTTTTTCTTTGTGGTTTTATGAGTGACCTTGTAATGAGTAATCACTTTTATGGTATTTTCCCCATTCAAGCATTAGGAACATCAGTGCATGGATGGTTGTATGTACATGTGTGCACATGTATTATGTATTTGTTTTGTGGTGCGGTTTTGAGAACAGGAACTCAAGACCTTGTGTATGAACTCTGCCCTCTCCCAAGCCCTGAATGTTGGCTTTTTTATTTCTCTCTCTCTTTCATTAATGGGCTCCTATTTCCTTTTTCTTCTTCTTCCTTTTCTTTTTTGGGTTTTTCGAGACAGGGTTTCTCTATAGCTTGGGAGCCTGTCCAAGAACTCACTCTGCAGATTAGACTGGCCTTGAACTCACCAAGATGGCCTGCCTCTGCCTCCTCAGTGCTGGGATTAAAGGCCTGTGCCACCACCAACCGGCTCATGCTTTCGTTATCAAGCTTATGTATGCCTCCTTGAGTCAACAGCTTCTCATAGTCTGTTTATTCTTTTGGTGCAGGGGATTAAAATCAGGGTCTCTTGAGTTTTGAGCATATACACAACCACTGAGCTCCTCTGAAGTCCTAGATTTTAAAAGCATATTAAGAGACAGTAGTAGTTAGCCAATGTGTCTGGTTTCCCCAACTTCTGTGGAGATGAAAACTTAATTTCCATACTAGCTGTTCTCCCAAAATTAATTTGAGAAGATTTTGGAAGACACATCTCAAAGTTAACCATAATTAAAAACAAGCCAAACCTGGGTTAGTGTGATCTCGTGTGCCTGTAATCCTAGCACCAAGGAGGCCACTAACAAATAGCCAATATGATACGTTGAATTTAAAATCTTCTAGACTATTGATCAACAGAAATGATGTATTAGTTATTTGTAAGGGAAATTTATTCATTTGAATAAAAAATTAAATTCAAGGATGACTAATTTCTATCTTAGATTACTCAGAAAGCCAGAGTTAGAAAGCAGTCGCTCTGAATTGTATTTTAGAGGTCTATGATAAGTTGTGCTTTTGGTAAATTAATACTTAAATTTAATTCTGAAATTACTAGTGAATTTGTAGAGGAGTTACTAATTTTAACCTATTTTCTTTGAACTTGGGAAAAGGGCTTCTGAGAATGTAGTGTCTTTACACACTGAGCCATCTTGCCAGGTTTTTTGAGATAGGCTGTCATATAATGCAGGCTGGTCTACTCACTACGTAACTAAGGATGGCTTTGACCTTCTTTCTGATCTACCTCCTGAGTACTGGGAAGGATCCTCTATTTGCCAACTTTAAAAAATGCACTAATAAGTAATAAGTACTAATAAGTGAGGCTTTAAGGTAGAGTGATATTTCATGTTTTTTTCTCAGAAACATTTTATAATTTTTTTATTAGTTAATTCCTGGTTCTGATTCTTTTTTTCAACTTTTTGTGAAACTTAGATATGAAAAAAGGTGATTATCACCTATAATTCAACCATTTGACTATTATTACTTATTTTATGTGTGTGTGTGTGTGAGAGAGAGAGAGAGAGAGAGAGAGAGAGAGAGAGGGGAGAGAGAGAGAGAGAGAGAGAGAATCTGGAACTAGAGTTACAGGTGGTTGTATACTGCCCAGTGTGAATGCTGGGGATTGAACTTGGGTCCACTAGAAGAACAGCAAATACACACTACTGAGCCATCTCTCCAACACCTACTTGTCACGCTTATTCTCCACCATTTAGAAGGTTTTATTCCTCTTAAATTATTTTGTGTTTCTTTTCAATTAATGTATTACAAGCATTTCCTTATGCCATTATTTGCAAACATAATTACTGGCCTTTGATAATTTGTTGCTAATTAGCTCATTCATAAAAGGGAAAATACTCCTCAATTTTGTTGGGTAGAAGCAAAATCCAAACATTTTAGCAAACCTAAATTTATTTTTTCTGTAACTGGTAGTTTCAGTTTAAATGGTCAAAGCTCTGAAGAACTAGATAAAATATTATGATATGGTAGTCTGAAGAAAATCTTAGAGGTCACATCACAGTATATAAATACGATCTGAGAGCCTGAGCATCGAATTGCTTTCATAGGTTGGTGGGTGTTTGTGACACAAGGTCACATATAACCTAGGCTGGGTTTGAATTCCTGGTTTTTCTGTCCTATTTCCCATATTCTGGCATTACACTACTGACCAGCTGTTTTGTTTTTCTGATTTTTGTAAGTAGAGGTATATGTTCATAAATCATAAGCCACCCTGAATCTTCAAGATGCCCCAGCAGATAAAGGCACTTGCTGCCAAGTCTGACCACTGGAATTCAATCCCTGGTAGTGGAATGGTGGCAGGACAGAAGTGAAGAGGGTAAGACTTGCAAGCTGTCCTGACCTCCACAGGCACTGTGCATTCATGCACAAGCACATACACATAGAAACTCATACACAAAATAATTAAACCATAATAAAAATGTGCCACCCCTAAAGTATAATTTTTATGTTTATAAAGTTGTATAACAGTTACCATCATCAGATTCTAGAATATTTTCATGACTGCCCAAGTTGAATCCTATAACTTTTTAAACATAATTTTTATTGATTCTTTGGGAATTTCACATCGTGTACCCCAATCCCACTCATTTCCCAGTCCCTCCATATCTGCCCCTCATCCCTGTAGCATCCCCCCAAAAAGAAAATTTTAAAAAATTAATTAAAAACAAATCAAAGCAAACAAACAAAACCCACTTCCATTCTTTGTCTTTCCCACCTCTCCAGAATCTCTGCATTTGTCTCAATGGCATTGGAGTCCCATAACTATCAGTCGTTCCCAGATTCCTCTTCACCACCGTGGCGACCACCAATAGTCTTTGCTTCTGTAGGTTTTTCTGTTCTGGACATTTCAGCTAATGGAATAATGATACATGGCTTTTTTCTGTTTGGCCTTTTCACTTATCATAGTTGTTTTCAACATTTGTGTAACGTCTATTAGTATTCTATGGTGTTTTGTGGCCAAATGATAATTCCATTGTTTAGAAACTCACAGTTTATCCATTTTATCCATTTATCATTTGATGGAAATTGGTTATTTTAGTTGTCGTGAATGATGTCATTTGGTGTGTTTGTGAACAAGTTTGTCTGTAGACTCAAACTCAGAGACACAGCTGCCTCTGCCTTCCAAGTGTTGAGATTAAAAGCACGACACCCCACCTGGTCCAAAGGTCAATTCTGATGTTAATAAAATTTGATCACAATCAAAAAGGTCTTACCCTCTTCACAGAAGAGTTGAAAGATCAAGTTGTCTTTTCGCTGATGATGCCGATTCTAGAGCCTTATACTTGGTATATACAAGGGCTCTACAGCTGAGTTCCCACCCTCCGATTTGCTCATCTTGTTGCTACACTATTTTACATTTGAAAACCAAATACTTTATGTAACACAGTTAGCCTTTCTTGGGTCTATAAGTGAGGGCAGACTAGTCACTGGCATAGTTATATATGTTCCGTCTTAGCATTAAGAACTTTTTAAAAGAAAAATTTCACTTTTAATTTTTAATTGTGTGTATATGTGTGTCAGGGTATTGTGCCTGTGCAGGACAGAAGAGATCATTGGATCCCTTAGAGCAAAGGCACTTAGCAGACAAGTGATGATGGCTGCTAGGACTGAATCAACACTTGCTCTAAACCACTAACTCATCTCTCCAGCATGAAGAGCATTTATTCAAAATAAGCTGTAAATATTAAACAGCAGGTTAATTTTTGGTCTGGAGATGTGGCTTGGTTGGTGTGCTGTGCTAGCTTCTCCATTTCTAACAGGCTCAGCTCACCTGTAATCCTAGCACCAGTGTTCAAGGAGAGAGAAGCAGGAGTATCGATAGTTGAGGGCCATAGATAATGAATTGAGGGCACTCTGGGATATGTGAGAGACCCTGTCTCCAACAAAGGCACTCAGCTAGTTGGTGACACAGTACATTTTAACTCATTTGTGTATCAAAGAGTTAACTTTTACTTTGAAATTAATTATTGTTGAATTGCTTATGTATATTTGATTCAGATTTTAAATCTGTGATATCTTCTTCTAGTTGGATTGGATGCTGCTGGAAAGACGACAATTCTGTATAAACTGAAATTAGGGGAGATAGTCACCACCATTCCTACCATTGGTAAGAAATTTATAGATAACTCTGTAAAGTGAAAATATAGTTTTGTTTTTTGTTGATCTTAAGAGATGATATAGGTAAGACTTACAAAGCTATTCTAAGAGACTTTCACATTGCAGGGGTTTAATTCTTGGTACTTTATTATGAACAGTGGTCATGTTTTTTTTCTTTTAGGTTTTAATGTGGAAACAGTAGAGTATAAAAACATCTGTTTCACAGTATGGGATGTTGGTGGTCAAGATAAAATTAGGCCTCTCTGGAGGCATTACTTCCAGAATACCCAGGTGAGATATGCCATGTATTTGTAACTCTAATTTATAGATTTCATATTCTGAATTTTATATTGAATGTTGACTTGTTTATATTCTTTAGTATGCACTTACTCATGCCTTTGAAAGTTCAGGTACGTAGTGTGGAAGAGTTAAATGTAGCTACTCCAGTGAGATTTTAGATAGGAGTAAATTAGTTCTTAAGAATGAATTACGTATTTCATCAGTAGTTCTTTTGATTCTTTTTTTTTTGTTGTTCTTTTGATTCTTAACCTTAATTTTGAGATTAAATTATATATAACTTGATTTAGCTCAGTCTGCTTTGCTAACTTATAAGACTTTTTTATGTTATCATACAGGATATCCTGGCATGAAAGAGACCTTAGTGATTATGTAGATAAGGAGTTGTCAAATTTGGCTACACTTTTGAGGGAGTTTTGAAAATCTCTAAAGTTGTCATAAGTCAGAATCTTGAACACGGAAGGCCAGCAGGCTTAGTGTTCCATACTTAGTATGTGTGTGGCCCACCTGGCTCTCTATGAAAGATACAGACTGATTTAGTGGGAGAAGCTTTTTAGATTTGATAATTCTAGTAAGTTCTCTTGTGGTATTGATTTTGCTAGTTTGGGTTCTTATTAAAAGTTCTGTTGTCATTTTTGAACTGTGGGGAGGCCTCTCTTGGATTGTAGTATGCTTAACAGCATCCTTAGTGTCTACTTATTAAATGCTAGTAGCCACTCTACCTTCCAAGTCAAGTTTTGACAACTACAAATGCTTGCATGCTTGCAAAAAACAAAAAACCTCCCTAGGGACAGGATGAGAACTACTATTCTAGTTCTCCTATTTTTGTGTTTCCTCTCCACCTGACCCCTGAATGCTGAGATTGCAGACATGTACCATATGCTAGAGTTTCTAAAAGTGAGGAAACTGAGACTTAGAAGTGACTTCAAGACATAACAATGGCACATACCTGTAACTGGGAACCTGTAATTGCACTTGGGAAGTAGGAGGATGAATCTAAATTCAGTTCAGTCTGCTCCTGCATAGCATGTTCGAGGCCAGGTAAGGCTCCATAGGGAGAACTTGTCTTTAAAAAGAAAAGATTGAGGGGTTCTTTTTGTTTTTGTTAACCTGGTCTCAGTTCTTTTCTACTATAATTTTCTTTTCTACTACAATGAGGGGTTACACATCATGTTTTGTGTTACTACCAGAGTTGAGAATTTCTTGAAGTAGTATATTTAACTTTTGAGAAATTTAAGATTTGTAGTGTTGTGCTTATGCTCCATTGAGGTGCACTGTTGCCTGGTAGCAGTGAGCACCCTTGTTGAGTGGCTGGAACAATCCTGGCTTAAGTAGTATATCTTACTAAATAAGTGTATGAATATAAAAATAAATATGTAGCATAATTTCTTACTAAAAACAAGAATGTGTTAATTCATATGGCTTTGGATAGAGAACAGATTTTTGAAAAGTATAGGCTTTAAAAAACTGTATTGTGGAATTAGAATGTAACACAATAAACCATGTATCTGAAGTAAAATCAGGCATGATGTAAATCTTGCTGATTTTAAACCTTATAATAATAGTCTTATCCTTATATTTGTTTAGAATGTTTTGTAAGACATGTGAATCATGAATTTGGGATTAAATCTATCCTGGTCTCTTTGGATGACTTTAGAATTAAAGGCCAGAGCATTCTTCATCCTAGATAGTTCTTTCCCTTCTAGGGAAAGCTCTATGTGGCCTGGTTTAATTACCGCTAAGCTAGCTCTTCTAGCTTGCTTTTCTAGCATTTCTAATCAGTTCCAACTCCTAACACTTAAACTAATTGTTTATTGTGGTAAATTGCTCTCTCCTCATTAGATAATTCCATTTCTTTTGCTTTTCTAAATAATTTGGCTTTTTCAAAAAGGTTGATTTTTATTTTGTGTGTATGTAGTCCCCCCTCCAAACGTACGTGTGTGTGTGTGTGTGTGTGTGTGTGTGTGTGTGTGTGCGTGCCTACCACATACATGCCTGATACCTACAGAGCCAGAAGAGGTTGTTAGATTCCTGGAACTGGAGCTAAGGATGGTTGTGAGCTGCCATTTGGGTGATGGGAATTGAACCTGGATCCTTTATCAGAACAGAAGTGCTGTTAAAAAACCACCTGACTGACCCCAGTTTGTTTGGCTTTTTAAGTAATCTTTTCTTAGAACAGATGGATGTGCTTTCAGAAGCTTAACTCTTCCGTACTGTTGATCCTGTGGTATTACAGGAAAGGACCAACTTAGAATTTATTCTTAAAATCTCTCTCTTACTTTGGAATAGATGACATTATTTACATTTAGAAAAAAAATTAAAATGGAACGTTTAAAAAATGAAATTGGGGCTGGAAATTGGCTCAACAGTGCTTGTTGCTCTCGTAAAGAAAAAAAAAGGCCTGGGTTTGATTTCCACACCCAGGTGGTGCCTCCCAACTGTCTGTTACTCCAGTTGAAGGGGGAGCTGATGTTCTCTTCTTTTGTTTTTTGTTTTGGTTTGTTTATTTTTTGGTTCTCTGTAGTTTTAGATCCTGTCCTTGAACTAGCTCTTGTATACTAGGCTGAGACACAGAGAAACTCTGTCTTGAAAAACCAAGCCTAAGTAAACAAATAAACAAAACTATTGACTGAGCAACTTAACAAAGCAAAGGAAGCCATTTAATTTAAAGCAAAAGGCTGGGGCAAATGGGAGGGGCTGGAAGGAGAAAAGGGAAGAGGAAAAACCATGTAATTATATTCTCAAAAAATAAAACAATATATAATTTAATTAAACAAATACATTATACAGTTCTCTTTTTACTAATGAAAATGCTTTTTCTTAATGATGATTAGCTTTGAGGGCTGGAGAGATGGCTCAGTAGTTGAGAGCACTGACTTCTCTTCCAGAGGTCCTGCAACCACATGGTGGCTCATAACCATCTGTAATGAGATCTGGTGCCCTATTCTGGTCCACAAGCATACATGCAGTCAGAACACTGTATACATAATAAAAATAAAACTTTTTTTTTTTTTAAATAAATGAGTAGCTTTAACTAAACTAATCAGGAAGTTATTCTTGTAATCATACACCTGGAAAGAACGTGTTAATCTTGCAATTCTCAATTCTTATTTCTTTATTTAAAACAAAAAACTATCAAAGTGTGTCAAGCTCTCCTTTTTACATTTTGTATGTGCCTTTTACTGCATACATAAATCCACATAGTTCATAAATTTTTGACGATCCTTTATTATTTTCCTTTTGTCTTCACTACATAGTCTCTGTTTACATGGCACTCTGGAAGTCAAAGTATAGCTCATGGTCCCTTGGACCTTATGATCTCCTGCCTCTGTTTCCTGAATGCTGGAGTCACAGTGGAGTGCAGCACCACACAGTTTTATTCAGGGCTTCTTGCATGCCAGACAAGCATTCTACCCCCTAAGCTAGACCCGCCCCCCCACCTGTAACTCTTTTGTTACTGTATTTAAATATGATAGGGGAGAGAAAGGAGGTAACAATTGTTTCTCTTAGCATTGAGAAAAGTACTCATTGGTTAATTATTTTGGAGTTTTGGGTTTTTGGGGGGGGATTTGAAGAATGATTGGTTAAAATTATATGATGTTTAAGTCAGTTTTCAATAGGTGAGCCTTGAACTGACTTTGTGTTGTTTATTTGGGTTACTGTTGTGCTGGAGCACCACGACTACAGCAGCTTGGGGAGGAAAGGCTTGCGGTTCCATAGCACTGTTCATCAAAGGAAGTCAGAACAAGAACTCAACCAGGCAGAAGCTGATGCTGAGACCATGATTTGTTCTTCATGGCTTGCTTGCTCAACCTGCTTTCTCACAGAACCCATGACCACCAACCTAGAGATAGCACCAGCCACAATGGGCTGGGTCCTTCCACATAATCACTAATTAAGAAAATGCCTTACAGGCTTGCCTACAGCCAGATCTTATGGTGGCATTTTCTCTACTTAGGTTCCTCCTCACGACCAGCTTGCATCAAGCTGACATAAAACTAGTCATAACAGAACCTCTTTTCTTTTTAATTTTAAAGTCACATTTTATTTTCTGGTGTGTGTGTCAGTGGGGAGTGTGCAGGGAGTTTATGCCCCTTACTTGCATTGTGGGAATAAGTCTCTTTCCTCTCACCCTGTGGGTTCTGGGGACCAAATTCAGGGCATTATGTGCTTTTACCTGTTGAGGTGTTTTGCTAGCCCCTGTATTAGAGACTTTTAAAAACTGTTAAAAAAAAAAACTTTATAAGATTTATTTATTATATATACAGTGCTCTCTCTGCATGTCTGCTGAAGATGGCACCAGATCTCATTACAGATGGTTGTGAGCCACCATGTGGTTGCTGGGAATTGAATTCAGAACCTCTGGAAGAGCAGCCCATGCTCTTAACCTCTGAGCCATCTCTTCAGCCTTAAAAACTATTTTTAAACACTCAGTCTTAGTTAGGGTTACTACTGCTGTGATAAAATATGATCAAAGCATCCCAGAACTACCTGCCCAAGGACAGGCTACCTTGTCATAGGCTGGGCACTCCCACATCAGTAATTAATTAAGAAAATGCCCTACAGCTGGATCTTAACGAAGGTATTTTCTCACTTGAGGTTCCCTGTGTTCAGATGATCTAGCTTGTTGATGTAAACCTAGCCAGGATGCAGAACTTACTTTCTACCACACGTCAAACTCTCCATGCTGTCTTGCTAGTGTATTTAATATTTAGTGTGGCCCCTAAGTTTTAATTTATAATTTATTGAAAAATTTTTCCCTAGGGTCTTATTTTTGTGGTAGATAGCAATGATCGTGAAAGAATTCAAGAAGGAGCAGCTGTGCTGCAGAAAATGGTAAGTATACATTTTAAATTGATCATTTTCAAGATATATTATGGGGGTATTGTCCATGATTACATACTTAGAGGTAGAAATAAGCTTGGAAAACTTACGTTATTTCCAAGTTCTTAAGAATGCACAAAAAAGCCTTCTAAAGTCTATTGATTTATTTATGTAATTAGTAGTTCTCAACCTGTGGGTCGAGACCCCCTTTTGAGGGTCAAATGACTCTTTCACAAGGGTCATCTAAGACCATTGGGACACACAGATATTTACATTATGATTCATAACAATAACAAAATTATAATTACAAAGTAGCAACGAAAATAATTTTATAGTTGTGGATCACTACAACATGGGAATTGTATTAAAGGAGCACAACACGAGGAAAGTTGAAAACCACCTTCTTAAAGGGTAATCATTATTTACTCAAAGTGAAGGATATGAGATTTATAAGAGTGCTTGGAATTTACATAGAGAAATTTAATTGATGTTTAATAGCTTGTTTAATGTTGAATAAAATGTATATTTAGGAGGACTTGTGAGTAGTCAGTTTGATTTTAGAAGCAGCTAACAGTTGAACCTTTCCCCAGCTTCTGGAAGATGAGCTGCAGGACGCAGTGCTGCTGCTGTTTGCAAACAAACAGGATTTGCCAAACGCTATGGCCATCAGCGAGATGACGGATAAGTTAGGTCTTCAGTCTCTCCGGAACAGAACAGTAAGTATTGGAAGGTGACACTCACCTCCTCGCTGGTGAAACTAGGGTAGTTGGACTGATACTCAGCTGCTGATTAGTATTGTTATTGTTGTTACTATTTGGAGATAGGGTCTAACTGTGGTCCTGGCTGGCCTGGAACTTACTCTGTAGACCTCAAACGCACATAGATCTGCCTGCCTCTGCATATGCCACCATGCCCACCCAGTTTAAATGTGTAATAATTATTTCCTTTAGACAGACAGAACATTTATAAGAATATGGTAATATATTTTATAGAAAATACATACTAACCAGCTTTAAGTCAAAACTATAAATATTGCATTAAATTTGTTTTTAAAAATATGGATATGCCTTTATTTTGACTATTTTTTTGTGTTTGGGGTTGAGGGATTCTTTCATGTGGTAGGATAGTTACCCTACCGCTGAGCAGCATCTGTAGTTGAGTACTGTGTAGTCGATGCTGGCCTTGACTTTCTGTTTTTCTTTCCCAAGTGCTAGGATTAGAGGCATGTGCAGTCTTAGCAAGCCTTACGTTTTGTGCTATAGCAACTGTATTTTAAATCATATCATTTAATGTCTTTGTTTAAAACTTGAACTTCTGCTGACACCTTTATCTAATACAAAATTACGAGAAATACTGTGCCTCCTATCAGGTAGTGATTTGATATTGGCAAAGTTCATGTACACATGGAAACTGTATCTCAGACATGAAACCATGTTGTCAAAAGAGAAAAGATAACTCTCAAAACTCCAGTGTCCCATACTCAACAGCAGCTTTACATTGACCTGTTAACAAGGCAGATTTTGTTTATTCTGTAGACTGTTGTGATGTCCCATGTGAATTAAACTGTGGAGATACGAATTTATGCCCTTTCCCTCCCTTCTGTGTTGCTAGGGTATTTGATAGTCAGAATAATTGGCAACATGGTAAACCTACAATGGCTTTGCAACATTAAAATAAGTTTTTTTTCTTCTAAGGTGAAATAAGACTAGTCAGTTAAAAATGAATAAATTATCTGTTTAATGAGAGTTATTTTCTGGGTGTTTCAAGTTTTATGGGGGGTTTTGGTTTTGGTTTTTTGAGACATATCTTTATATTTTATTGTGTTTCATAGAAGCAACTAAGAATCTTTGCTGTTTAAAAGTGAAACTTTTTGGAATATGTAAGATCAAAGATGCTAAAATTACTTTTTAAAAAGAAGTGAAATCGTGAAAAGTTTTAGTTCTTAGAATACCAACAAGTATCTTTCAGAAATTTACCCCTTTTAGACTGGGGATGTGGCTTAATGACCGAGGGCTTGCCTAGCACATGTGAGGGCCTGGGAATGAGAACTACACAAAGCACAGCTCCTAGTTATGGGGTATAATGAGAGGATCTTAAGGACCAGGTAAGTAATGTGTTAGAGATGCTAAGTCCATTGAATAACAGATGTAGTTTCAAATGGATAGAGTGAAAAAATTCCTAAAGGATACTTGAGTGACTTTTGTAGTTACTGAAAGAATTAAATTCATGTTTGTTGGATGCAAGTAGATTACTTAATGCTTAGATCCTTAATGTCTATAACTGATTTAGTCATTTCCATTTTTTATGCTTATAATGTCTTAGTAGTGCCCTTGGCCATTTATGTGGAAGGAGGGACTTAATATTTTCTGTTTAAAAAATGAAAGTAGGTATTATCTTGCTAATAAAGTATTTTCTTGTCCTTTCTTTACAGTGGTATGTTCAAGCCACTTGTGCTACACAAGGAACTGGTCTGTATGAGGGACTCGATTGGCTGTCAAATGAACTTTCAAAACGTTAAATGAACCTGGATATCCAACCAAGGACATGTTTGATAGAATTGATCTAGACTTGTTACAACAAAATTAGTTTGCATCTTGGTTATTAAAGAATATCTGAGACAGGTTTGGGCAGAATATTACAGCATTTAAAACTTATTTTGTTGCCAATTATTGTTTACCAAGCACAATGTTGCTATTTAGCAATATGCTTGGGTGTAAGAGAAATTCTCCTTGGGAAAAAAAAGTATCCACTATTATACTTCCCTGAAGCCTAAATGCCTGGACATACAGCTATTGTGACTCCTTTAAACAAATCTGTTTGAGTGTTTTGAGCCCACACCAATAATGTTATAAAGTTATTCCCTTGGTACTTTACTGACACCTTGATCATTCCTAGGACAGTCTGCTGATGTAACAATGTAGCATTCCATTTGTATTTATTTCTGCCCCTTACCAAAAAAGATTTTTCTAATACTGCTTGTACCAGCCAGGGAAGTGCTCCAAAACACTATTGAGTATTCTTGGACTGAGGATGTCCCACCACCAGCAGCCATTAATGACTCCTGGCTTCCAACAGCCAAACTTACCTCGTTAATGTGGTCTGCATTTGATAGCTAATTCTGTGCTGGTTGCAAAGAGTTCATATTGAGATAACTTTTAATACTCAGCAGATTGTCTTCCTTTATATTGTTACCTTTTTTATGTTGCATGTTGCTTTTGGAATCACCCTGACTCTTTGCCCAGTATATGATAGTTCTGCTGATATTACTGTTTGTTGATGAACCTATCTTCATAAAGAATTTTTTGAAAACTCAAATTCAGTGAATAAGTTTTCTTCATAACCCATTTGAAATTATTCCTAATAAAATGATAAAAAAAATGTGATTGTGTGTTCTTTCAGTCTTTGGAATATTTGAAACTGATTTCCTTACAAATTTAGGCAAATGTATATTAAACTTTATCATAAGTATGTACACACACAAAAACGGATACAGGCTGTGATCCTGTTTTAGGGCTCCATTAGGAGTCTTATAGAGAAGACATGTTCCCTAGAGGGAATTAAAAAGCAAAACCAGTACCACTTCATACTAGAGTGTTACCAAAGAATAAAACTAGTAAGTGTTGAGGATGTACAGAAATTAGAGCACTCATGTATTATTTCTGGTGGGGAAGTGTACCTGCCTTCAGTAATATTTTAGCAATTCTTTAAAAGGTAAATATTTTCCCCATATAACCCAATAATTCTGCTCCTGTGTAAGCGATACTCAAAAGAAATGAAAACACCCACACAAAACTTGTACACAAATGTTTATAGCAACATTATTTGTGGAAGCAGTACAAATGCCCAGTATAAATAGATAAATGTAATGGAAAATTCATTTTAAAAAAACCTACCCAGTATTGATGCTACAACATGGAAGTAACCAAACAACCTAACTGAAAGAAGCCAGTCACAAAAGGACATCTTTCTTTGCACTTGTGAAAAAGTCCAAAATAGACATTTCATGGAGACAAAGTAGGTAAAGGGTTGTCAGGGCAAACGAGTGACATCCTGTAAGTACAGGGTTTCTTTCAGCTGTTAGACTTAGTCTGACACCCAAATACCAATAGCTCTTAACAATAAAGACACCAGTTTAAGCCAGGTGGTGATGGCTTGCCCCACAGCACTCCAGAGGAAGAGGCAGGCAGTTCAAGGCCAGCCTAGTCTGAGTTCCAGAGCTACAGAGAAACCTTGTATTTAATAACCCCCCCCCCAAAAAAAACAAAACCCCAAAACATAGAACTTGGGTTTTGATAGAACAAGAGCTTCCTATCAGATGAAAGTGGTATTAAGCCAGCTGGACAGCTTTAATGGTTCTTGTTGTTTTTTTAGTTTTTAAAGTTTTTTAATTTATGGGTATGGGCATTTTGCCTGACATGCATCTGTATCATGCACATGCCTGGTTCCCAGATGCCAGCACAGATGGATTCCTGGAGCTAGAGTTAAAGGGGGTTGTGAGCCAATGTGGGTGCTGTGAAATGAACCCCAAGTCCTCTAGGTGCTCTTAACCACCAAGTGGTCTCCCCAGGCTCAAGTTGAATGTTTCAGATGTCATTCACTAATGTTCTATAGAAGCTGTACAAGCCAACTCAACTGATTAAGCTTAATGTTAAAATAACTTTTACATAAATTTTAGCATCTATGTTAATACACTAAAGGTGGTCAAGTAATAATAGTTTCCTACCTGTTATTTAACAGGAAATATGTCACCTTAATTTATTGGTTTACAGCTTAAAAATTGCCTTAAATTTAGGGACTATAATAGTTTGAACATTTTGATTACACATAATTATTATACTCAATTATATTTAATCTCATTTTCTCAGTAATTAGTATTTTTATACATTTTTGCTATCTACTAATCTGGATTTAAAGTGGTTCCATTTAAAAGTAAGTTCTCTGAAATTGCTCAAGTTAAAAAATAGCCTTTTGTTGTGAACATCTTAAGTTTTTTTTACCATAATTTTGATTTACATTCAAGGTTGTATTTTTGAACTTGAATTTATACTTTTCTTTAAAGGAAGCGCCTTTTCTGCTTGGCACAAAGTAGCAGTTGGTGAAGTAGGCTCTGAAAAAGGGTTTGGTAAACTATTGAATAGAGTAAAGCATGTTTATGGCTGTCTAACGACTTCAATTCAGAAGTTAGAACTGTGTCATTAGAGTATCACTTCATATTAACCAGGATGACTATTTAGAAAATGGGAGTAAGAGCCGGGCGGTGGCACATACCTTTTATCTCAGGAGGCAGAGGCAGGTGTATCTCTGAGTTTGAGGACAGTCGGGTCTACAAAGGGAGCTCCAGGGCAGCCAGGGCTACACAGAGAAAGGTTATCTTGGTGGGTTCAGGGGAAAATTAGTGGTGGAAATAAGATTGAGAGGATGGAGGGAAAACCAAACCTGTGCACTACAGTGAGCGAGTGTGTAAGACAGGGCTGCCATGCGAGAAAGTCTGGCAGTACTCCAGAAAGCTAGAATGACGACCAGCAATTCACTCTGAAGTGTAAACTCAAGAGAACTGAAAGCAGACGTTCCGGGTTGGTGTACAGCTGAGTGATGACAGGATGTGATTCCCCAGCACTGCCAAAAAGGATGTGCAACCAACAACTTGGGCACAAGTACCCATAGTACTAGACACAACAGCAAAGAGACAGTCCAAATGTTCAGATAAGCAAGATGTATTATCCATGCAGTAGAAAATACTCAGTTGTAAAAAAAGATCAAGTGTTGGTACATAACTGTAACATGGATGAACCTAGAAAACATACAAGTGAATAAAGCCAGAACATTGTAGTCAGAAATGGCCTTCTTTTGACGAATGACCAACTGTAGTGTCTGTTATGGGAACAACTGCATAAGAGTTATTTTCACAGAATAACATGCTCTAAAACGGTCACTTTTCTTCAGCAAGAACTTATGACATAAATGTGCTTCACCACAAAGTTGCTAGATTTCCCATATTTATTAAAATCAAATGTACTAAAAATTCCAAAAGTTGTAGAAAAATTCAATCACAAAGATAAGCTTAAACACTTCTGATTAACACCTTGTATTAATCTGTAAGTACAAATTAATCAAGGTATGATACTTAGAATTTTTGTAGTGTTCCCTATCTGCATTCCAGTCGGCCTGACATCTGTATGCTGGAGATCTGACTAGGTCAGATCTTTATACTTTTATACTTACATTATCTGTAAGTCTATAAAAAGTTTATTTCAGATATTGGGAAAAGTCCACTGCTCCCTTTTTTTCCATTTATGTAGCTCAAACTGACCTTGAATTGTGTAACCCAGACTAGTATTTAACTAGTATTAGCAGCCCTACCTCAAACTCCTGAGTGCTAAGATTACAGCACCATGCTAGGCTCCCTTTTTCCTGCTCATAAAAAATTACCATTTTGAAAATGCTCGATAGTTTTTTAAGTATAATTTGAAGCCCCAATCAGAAGTTTCTCGTAAAATAATTGTGCTCTATTCTTTCATGTCATATGGTCAAGTAACCTGTGTGTTGACATCTATTGTCAATTTCTATAATAGACATTGTCAATGTCTATTTCTCATGAGGAAGAATGAAGACAAGGGGATCAGACTGTGTCGCTGCTCCCTGGGGACACTGTTAAAATGGGCTGAACTGTGAATGAGAACACAAATTACGCACATTTGTGCCATCATATGCACACTAAAAAAAAAAAAAAACGCTAGAAATAAGAGAAAATACCCTGCTAACTGAAAAATGAAGCTATAAAAATTGGTAATGGTATATTTTAATCTTTTGTTAAAGCTCTAAATTATAATAACCACCAAATTGAGGTAGTGATAGACTAAAGTATTCCATGTCTCTCTGAAGTATTTCACTTTTACCTGCATGTCCCCCTCCAATTATATGAACATAATTCAATGTAAAGTGTTATGAAAGAAAATGAGATTATTCAAATAGTACTTAAAAACCTTAATTGCCAGCTTAAAAAAACCTATAAACTATACACAATAGTTCATTTTTTCTTCCTAGTCATAAATGTTTTCCTTCAAATGTAGGAAATTAAAAAAGAGGACAAAGATATATGATGCAAACATTATGAACTGGTATGTAACAAAGCCACCTGGAACATAACTAGTAGGGAATGATCATAATAAAGTTTAGTGTCTAGACGTCCGCTTTGAAGATTTTTATATATAAGCGCTGATTCATATTAAATTTTCTGAAAAGTAACTCGCTTCACTCAATGCAGCAAAACCTAGTTCCATTTTAAATCACAAACCAGTGCTATGTGATCAGAAGGATGAGAAACACTAGGTAAGGCCTGATGGGTGGTAACTTCTTCATGACTAGGTAACGGAATCACCTGTTCAACCTCTAACGCATTTAAGTCAATAAAAATGTAATCTAGGCATCCGTGAAAACAACCAACATAATTGGTGTAAGCAGGTTCCCCACAAGCACTTTTCAGTTTGAAAAGGTGTGAGAGAGACATACTGCATCTTTCCTTTTCCCCGTTGGAAGCCCAGTCTTCATGATCCTCTGGAATGCTGCCATTGGTAACAAAATGATACACTCCTGTAGACGGTGTACTATTAAAGTCTCCACAAAATAGAACTGGTAAGCCAGGATACAGCTCACATGAAACATGTCTAATGTGAGCCAAGGCTACTGCCATTTGAACGAGACGAATGTATCCACCTACAAACAAACAAAATTAATGTAAGTACTTTTTAAAGTACTCCCTAAGAAGGGGGGGGGGCTCTCACTTATATGGTACCTATATAAACACATTTTCACATTGTGTGTGTTAAGAGTGAGAGAGACAGATGGGGTATAAGCCTCGGTGTCTGTGTGGAGGTCAGAGGACAATTTACATTGAGTTGGTTCTCTTTCCACTGCATGGGTCCCTGGTATTGAACTCAAGTCTTCAGGCTTGATGGAAGCACCTTTACCAGCTAAGCCACCTGGGCCCAAGACATTTTTGTAAAACAGCTTTAGCAACTTTAAACACCTACAGCATCTGAGTGACATTGAGAACATATGTTTTGTATAGGGCTGGAGTGGTGGTGCATACCTGGAATCTCAATTCTGAGGAGGCTGAGGCAGAAGGGTTTAAGTTCTAGGCCAACACATTTCAAAGTTCTATCAAAAAAAAAAAACATACATCTGTGTGTGTGTGTGTGTGTGTGTGTGTGTGTGTGTGTGTGTGTAAAACAGCTTCAATAACTTAAGTCACCTGTAAAACTAAATAAAACTTACCTTTTGGATGCCAGTAGAGATGGGTATTAGCAACACAAATCTTTTTAGAAGAGTCCTTTATAGACTGAAGAACTGAAATCTACAATAGAAAACATCAAGAGTTCAGTTGGTGTTTGCCAACCTCCTGAAAACTTCTTGGATTTTGCTTGAGACAGTTTCTCAGCAGACAGTCCTGGCTGTCCTGGAACACACTATTTACATACTAGAGTGCCCTCAAAACTCAGAAATCCACCTGCCTCTTCCTCCAAAGTGCTGGGATTAAGGGTAGGAGCCACAACATCCCACCCTGCAGAAGGTTTTGTACTTAAAACTGTCGACTGAGCTACTTGAAAACTAAGATAGCATTTTAAAAATCTGATCTTGCATGTTTTAAGGTATGCTAACATGAGAAAAGATAATAACGTTTTAGTAACCATCCAGTATACATAACCATTAGGAAAACACACTTTAGCTGAAAATTAAGACTGGATGCTGTTTTCAAGCACATGCCCCTGGAGTCAGGCAGGTCTCTGAACAGTCTAGGGTTTACAGTGCTATGCTGTGAAGACACTCTTCAGTGTTAAATGGCAAAGAAACCGTATCACCTACCTCATAGATGTGTGCATTCAATTAAACGAGTTTACACAAAAGTGTACAGAACACAATAGTGCTTAAAAACCGGTAGACATTTGTTTTACTTGGAACAAAATCACTTAAATTCTTTGGACCAAAATAATTTAACCCCAACACTTGGGAGGCAAAGGCAGGTGAATCTCAGCGCCAGCCTAGCCTACATAGCCAGTTTCAGGGCATCCAGTTACATAGTGAGACCACGCCTCAAAATACAAAAAACAAAAAAACAAGCAAAAAATAACAGAGTTTTAAGCTAAGAAGCAGGGTGTGTTCACACCCTGAACAAAGCTAGCTCGCTAGCCTAGTCAACTGGCTAAGAATCACGGTTCAGACTTCTATGAACCAGAGTAAGCGCATTTGATTATCTTCTCATGTGTGAAATAAGAATAGTATCTGTAAAACAAAAAGTCAATGATTTCTTTTACATACTAGGCAACAATAATTATGAAACAGGTCTTAAAACAAGAGGCACTTATACTTGTAACCGCTTTAAAGCGCGTTACAAGTGCTTGGCACGTTCCGACCATGACTGCATTTCGTACGCATCTCCCTGGATTGTGAGCACTAAGACTGCTCTATTCATCTTGTTCAAGGCGACCTGCGTCGGGGTTAGAGACAAGAGGTGTTTAGAATGTGCTAGATTAATGAACAAGCCACACTGTAGAAGACGCTAGGGCAAGCATACTCGAAAGAAATGCCATCTAGACAGTACCACCATCCCTCCACTCCGAAGGCCCCGAACCATGGGTGAGAAAAAGGCAGGCAGAGCTACTTGACCTGAAGGACAGACGATCTCTGGAGTACTTTATCCAGTGCTAGAGGGTTCAAAGCCAATTTCTCTAGTAGGTCCTTGTGCAGCGGGTCCGACTCCAAGGCTTCTTGGAATGAAATGTCGTGTTGGCTAAGGAGGTTGAACTTGGACTTCCGGTAGAAAGTGGCCAGGCCTTCGTGCTGTTTGATCCGGAACACGCCCTCCAGGCCGAAGGCCTCCAGGGCCGGTACCAAGCTGTCGGTGAACACGGCGCGGTCCACCTCCTGCAAACAGATGAGGTCTGCGTTGTAGCCGGTGAGCTCCTTCTGGATGAGGTTCTGGCGGTAGTCAATCTCCAGAGCGTAGGGCGCACAGTACGGGTAGAGGACGGTCCGGGAGAACTCGGTCTGGGCGTACGTGTCTGCAAGGATGTTGTAGGAGACGGTCCGGATGATGGAGTCCTCCGTCACCTTCTTGGTGTACAGATGCCGATGGTCAAACGTGCAGGTGCCGGGCCCGGCCTCCACGGGACACACGCTCTCCAGCTCGCGGCTGGGCCCGAAGCGCTGCCCATTGCCCGGCGTGCAGTGAAGCTTGAGCCGCAGCCCGATGTCCGCGTTGCACGGGGTGTACACGCGCTCGGTCACACCTGTCTCGGTCCAAGCCGAAGACGGCCCGGGGCGCGACGACGACTCGAGGCCGCCGTCCCCGGGCTCGGCCGCACCGGGCTGGACCTCCTTGTACCAGCGGAACACAGAGTTGGCGGAATCCCCGAATTCCAGGCTGAGCTTGGGGCACACCGGGAAGCCGGCCATGAAGTAGCGCGGCAACTGCAGCTCGGTGAAGGCGGGCGGGTTGCGTTCCACCTTGTACTTGATGTCGCCGATCTGCAGCACCGCGCCGTCCTGCCAGGCGTCCACATTGAGCACGTCGTCCGCCACGGCCTCTTCGCGGTAGTACAGCTTCACCACCGGCTCGCAGGCCGCTGCCGGTTCCGGAGCGCAGGCCGCGCCGCCGCCCGACTGCGCTCGGTTCTTCCGGTTCTTCTTGGCAGCCGCCGCCTTAGCGTGGCCCTTCAGGGCGTTGGTAGCGATCCGGCTGAGGACCCGGCCCAGGGGCTCGCTCTGGTCGCGCTGCATTTTTTTGTGGCTGCCGTCGGCCAGCGCGAACGACAGGCTGAGCTTGGGCTCCGAGGGCACGCAGCGCACCACCGCCCGCTCCATGGCGCGCGCCGCCTGCTCGGTCGCCGCCTCGGGCCGGCTGCGCTGCTCCACCACCGACCGGACCCCACGCAGCACGGAGCGACTCGGACGCCTCCACATGAACCTAGCGGCCGACGAGACCCGAGAGCCAGAGTCGCTCGCCGGTGAACCCGCGTGGAGGAGCGGCGGCAACCGGCTCCAAGCCCATTCAGAACGAGGACTTCCGGTCGGCGGCTGGAGAGGGAAGGGCATGTTGTTCCCAACGCGCACTTTCGCCAAAGTCACTCACCGACTCGTTCCTGGCAGAGCCGTCTGTGTCTAGATCGACGCGCCTTGGTGTGTTTGTGTTCAACATGGGTTTTAAAGGCAAAGAGAGGAAGTTAAAGGCGCCGGCGGGTAGGGTGGATACCAGATCCCGAGATTTGTCGAAAGTGCGGGCTTCCAGAACCGGAAGTGATTGGGCAGTGTCGTCAGGCGTTGATCTCCCGGCGACAGTAGACTTTCTGTCACTTCTCTTGGCAGTGCATCGGCCTGGGTGTGTGAATGGTGGGAACCCTAGCAGGATTGCAACAGTTCTCACAGTTTGGCCACTCTGCCCCCTGATTTTCGAGTTTCGAGGTGTGGCGGGTGGAATGAAGCTCGGCCCGGTCCCTTGCCCATGCAGTCAGCACTGAGGGCACACAGTTTACTTAAGCCTCACGTTGTTGTTTTTGAGGTAGGTCTCCAATCCGTCGCTTAGAATTGCGGAACCGGGAAAGACTGGGTCAAAGCCGCACAATATAGGAAGTTGTCAGGGAGTCCCGACAAGTTACTAAGCTGTTACTAAGTTGTAAAGAGCTTGGAAGGCCTTGTCTTTGTAGGGTTGCAAGATTTAGCAAATAAAAATACATGGTTCAGGTAAAACTTAGAGAATTTTTTAAAAACGAAAATGCTTAATTCCTCCCCGTATTACCTTATCTGAAGTTTAAATTTAGCTGAGAGTTTTCTTCCGATTTTTATTTCTTTCAAAACTCTTAAAGAATGAATGATCTTGACATATTTGTAGACCAAAACGAAGCCCTGCCTGACCAGGACAGTGAACCCAGGGGACATTAGCGTGTAAGAAAGACTCATCGACGGTACTGACTCAGATTGTCAGGTCTGACATCAAGCGCTTCCACCCACTGGGCCATTTTGCCTGCCCAGACCTTATTTGGTTTTCATGGTCTTGTATTTTTCCAAGAATTATTAGGAAGTGTCAGATTTTGGGGAAAGCTTGTTTGTAATTCACAAGCTTGAAAGGAGTGAGTGAATGCCATGTCTGAGGCTTTATTTTATGAGATTAATTTATAGCTCTATCTATAAATTATGTAATTGAAACTTGAAATTGAGAGACTGGGCAGTAATATGATTTAGGTAATGCATATGGGGAGGTGAGGAGAATAGGAAGAACTTTATTCACCTAATCTCAACCCGTGTCAAGAAACGAGCTAAGGATATAGCTCAGTGGACAAGTACTTGGCTAACAAGTGTGAGGACTTTTAAGAAAGCCTGCGCTGCTGGTGAAATAGCGTACTTAGTAAAGTGTTGGTCATACAAGAATGACAAGGTAAGTCTGATCCCCAGGACCCAGGTGAAGATGCTTGGCACAGTGATTTATGCTTGTAATCCCAGCTCTGGAAATGCATAAAACAGGTGGGGATTTAGGGCTATGGGCCAGCAAGTCTAGCCTGATTACAAGTTCCAGGCCAATGAGACTGTGTTTCAAAAAACAAGGTGGTTGTGCCTCTACACATACTGAATCTTCACACCCCCCATACACACACAACACATGTGCCCACATAGACACTTTTTAAGTTTTTTTTTTTTTTTAAGTGTGTGGCCCAGGTTGGCCTTGAACTGTTGATCCTCCTGCCTCTGCCTCCTACAAATCCTACCGGCCTGAGCCCACCACAACCAGCTTTCTTTTTTTTTAAGTTTTAAAAGAAAAGGAAGCCTACAAAACTAAGCTAGGCATCGTAGTACGTATCTGTAATATCACTATTCAAGAACTTCAGACTGCGCCAGTTCTGAACCAGCCTGGGCCCTCACAAAATCTCAAAATAAATAAACAATAAAACAACACAAAAGAAACATGCTTTTACCAATCAGAATTATGTCTACCTATATATCATTTATAGAACTCCCAATATTTACATTTGAAGACTAGTTTTTTTTTTCTTTTGTTTTGTTTTCTTTTTCAAGACTGGATTTCTATGTGGTGCACTAGAGCTCACTCCTTAGACCAGGCTGGCCTTGAACTCACAGAACTCTGCCGGCCTCTGCCTCCCAAGTGCTGGGATTAAAGGCGTGTGTCACCACTGTGGAATCACTAGTTTCTTGTAACACCCGATTCTTTGTTACCCCCTTGATACAGTTTGTGTGCCACTGTACCATACGCAAGTCGGGCAAGGGCCTGGAGATTGAAAAAATGCTCAAGAGACCTGGGTCATTCTAAAAGAGGTCAGCCAAAAACCGTTTATTCAACCTTGGAGAAATCCTTAAATTCCTAGCTGCTGCACAAGGAATTCCCCCCCAGGCAGGTGGGAAATTGCCACACCCAAGATGGAGTAAACAATGCCTTACAGCTAATCACCAGGTGGGGCAGAGGGAGCACAGGAACAAACAGAATGTTTTAGCTGGCTGACCAGAATCTGTCCTCAAGATGAACCCCAGGAGCAGGGGCAGACCCAGGCACCACACTGCCTGCCTCTGCCTCCCGAATGCTGGGATTAAAGACAGGAGTCACCACTGTGGAATGACTAGTTTCTTTTGATTACTTTTATTCTTGTAGATGTTATTGGCAGTTAAATAGATTGCTTATATACTATCTATACTTATGGTCAAAATGATACTACAGTTTTGGGTGATAGCATTCAGAAATTCTGAGTAGTACTTGATAACAATTTGGGTTATTTCTCCATATAATTCAAAAGTCAGATTTGTGATAGAGTGCCTGGCAAACACGAGGCAGGAGGTGTTGTGTGTAACTTGGCGTGGGTATATGGGTTTACGCGGGTCTATGAAATGAAGATTCACCTGGCTCTCAGTTAAGATGGTGGTGTAAGACTTTAATTCTGAAGCCATTTCTGACAATTCCAAACCCTGTCAGCCTCCATGCCTTAGTGCTTCCCCTCCTCCCCTGGGAACCAAGGACCTAACAGCTACACATGCACGTACTCAGTTCCTGAACAATTACCCATACACATCTGTTTTGACTCAGTCCCCTGGGAAACGGGGTCAAAATGACCTCTTACCTCATCTGATCTGACAATAGTTCTCCAGTCAATTATTGGTATTAGCCCTTTTCGAATAAGCCAATCATAATGGTCAAGGAACAACCCCTCTTGTTTCTATGGGGCCTTCTCCTTTAAAAGCAGACTGTACCAGCTATTTGAGGTCTCTCGGCTTCCCGAATGCTGAGGGACCCTGTCATGACAGAATTAATAAAAATCCTTATGCTTTTGCATCGACTGTGGTATATGAGGTGGTCTCTGGGGGCGACTCCTTCTCGGTTTGGACACTAGAGTCCAACATTTGGTTCCCTGACCGGGAAACGAGTCGCTCCAAGACACACTCTAGACCCAGTTGGAGGTATAAAGAAATGAGCTAATTTTTATGCCTGTCTGTTTGTGTATTATGTTTCTGTTTCTAGTGTGGGAGGAACAACCCTGGGTAGTCCAATCATGTTTTTAGCTATGGGAAGCAACCAGAGATGAATGAAAGGGCTCAACTGTAGCTATGAAGGCTGTAGTTGGCTGACAGGAAGGGGAAAAACTAACCACTGAAGCTGCTGGTGTCGGTGGTCAGGCAAATAGATGCAGAGCTGTTGTAAAGAAACCTGGTTCCTGAGCCCAGGGTTCTATGCATCCTCAGCTGGCCCACCTGTGGGTAGGAGGGGATGTGGAGAGAACCTGGCCCAGTCATAAGCACCACATGTTATGGTAAAACGCTGCAGGTCTCTGAGTGGTGGCAGTGGGCAGTGGGCTACGAGACCACAGCAGGCTACAAAGGCGGCCGGTCCCAGGCAGGGAGCTGCATGGCAGGTGAGAGACAGAGACTTATTAGGTACGCCATGCAGAGAAAGTGGGCTTTTGCCGTGCCAACGCAGCTAGAGCCAAGTCCAAGCGAAGGACGTCAGGATTAATGGAATGCGCACTCTGTCTGTTACAGAATCTGAAGCCTTTATTGTACATCACCAAGGGAATTTTATACCTAACCCACACAGGTGGGCCAACAGGATGGAGACCTCATTGCCGGATTCTCGTGTTAGGGCCAAGGCAATGCGTATTCAGGAAGCAGGGTTGGTAAACAACTCTGAGAGCACGGAACTTGCAAGTTTCTCAGAAACTCAGAACAAGGGCAAAAAAGGTCACCAACAGGGGAGGTGAGTAGGAAGGCCAGGACTCCATTAGGTCCCAACAGGCTTTTATTTAGTGGGTTATGGGGCAAATTTAGGGGAAAGGGAAATGGGGGAAGGGAAGAAGGGAAAAGAACAGGGGGGAGGGAGGAGAAGGAAGGGGAAAATTGGGGAGAAGGGAGCAAAGCAGAAGCTACCTCTTTGGGAGAGAGCCAGAAAGGAGGGGGCTCAGACTAGAAGCAGAAGGAAGTTCCACTTGCCTCAGTGGATGGGGAGAAAGTGGGTGGGGCTTGTCTCTTAAATGGACAAGACACACCATTACACTTATATACAAATTTTTCTTTTAAAGAAGAAACTTGGTATCCATATTAGGGGATCACTTTTTTGTGTTTTGTTTGTTTTTGTGTTTTTGTTTGTTTTTGCTTCTCAAGGCAGGGTTTCTCTGCGTAGCCTTGGTTGTCCTGGAACTGTCTTTGTAGACAAACTGACCTTGAGCTCACAGAGATCCACCTGCTTCTACCTTCTGAGTGCTGGGATTAATGGCATGTGCAACCATTGCCTGGTTTGGTGTTTTGGTTTGTTTGATACAGGCTTTTACTGAGTCCAGGCTGCCCTCAAACAGCCTCAGCTACACAAGCTCTAAAATTACACTGTATGCCACCAGGCTTAGCCAGAGGATCACATTTTGATGTGATAAATCCTTTTTAAATAATCAAGACTTTGAAAAAAATGAGCTTATCTGATTTTACAAATTGTATTCTTGGACTCAGAACTAGAGTTTTTACTTCTTCCTGAAGCAGATGGAAACAAATACAGAGACCCACAGTCAGATATTATGCAAAGAACGAGAGACCTTGGAACAAACTCTCAGCCCTAATTGGGATAATCTCCATCATATCCCTCCTCTCAGGGATCAGGGAACTCTGCAGAAGAGGAGGTAGAACAACTGTAAGAGCCAGCGGGGATGGAGAACACCAAGGAGTCTCTACACACAGCAGGGCTAGTGCATATGTGAACTCATGGAGATTGAAAGATCATGCACAGGGCCTACACAGTTCTTTACCAGATGGAGTCCTAGAGCTGAAAGAAGTGGACACATGTCCTCATCCCTAACCCAGAAAACTATCTCCCAATTGATAGCCATTTGCAAATAAAAATTTAGCCTTCTGCCGGGTGGTGATGGTGCACGCCTTTAATCCCAGCACTTGGGAGGCAGAAGCAGGTGGATCTTTGTGAGTTCGAGGCCAGCCTGGTCTGCAAGAGCTAGTTCCAGG